CCGAAGCCTTCGATTATTTTTGCATTTCCAGATATAATAGTAGCATTTCCTTTGTTTATTCTCAGATTCGAGAAATATTTTTTGTCTTTCAGAATTGTATGTGTTGTAGCACTATCTGCCAAACATATATCTCCTGCTTGGTCCGCAGTTTTGGCCATATTTGTTTTCTATTCAAGAACAAAACAACATTACCAAAAGATATATTAATAACGCATAATATCATTACTAACTTATGAAGCAGAAATAGTTATACAAGACACGACAACATATCATAAAATTATTTATACATGAGACTGCATATGTAGATAATATTGATTATATGAAGTATGCAAATATTTATATAGTTTTATTCATAACTAGCTTCATCTTCAGGATGGGCAAAAACATCAGCAAGGTCCATGTGTGCAAAGTCTTTAGCACCACTAGCATCATCATCATAGTCGTTCATGACATGATTGGTCTCAATGTCTTTTCCTTTTGTTTCTTTAATCGACTTCTGGTAAAGGTCCACCAAGTGTTTAGCAGTACGACAAGTATGCGGCCAATGTCCCGTCATTCCACACCGGTGACATGTACTTTCTTTCATCCTCTTGTTCTGATGACTATGTGCTCCCCCTTTATTACTGTTAAAATTATGATTTTGGGATGAATTCCCTTTATCATCTCCTCTGATCCATCTTCGGCTAACACCAGGACCTCGGCCTCGGCCTCTACCTCGAAAATAACCACGACCTCGAGCATTATAAGACATAACATTCACTCAAGGGAATGATGTTTTTTCTGTAGCATTCGCTTCAGGGAATGATTTGTTTTCTGTAGCATTCGCTTCAGGGAATGGTACAGATCCAGTCGGTCGTGATGCGTGGTTTTTCATTAACAACTCATTATTCTGTTCGGCCAATAGAAGGCACAATAAAAGCTCTGAATATTTTGTATACCCTTTTTCTCGATATTGTTGTTGGACTATAATATTCGAGGCATGCATTGTTGAGAAAGTTTTCTCCAACATCTCATTTTCGGTAACTGTTTCTCCACATAATTTCAAAATCGAAATGATTTGGTACATTGCCGAGTTATATTCACTGACATTCTTGAAATCTTGAAATCGGAGGTGCATCCATTGATTTTGTCTTGAGGAGGATCACCGTTTTTTTATGATCAAAACGCTCTTTTAATTTTAACCAAATATCTGTAGGATCTTTGATTTTCAAATATTCATTTTTCAAATCATCATGAAGATGATGTCGCAGTAATATCAGTGTCTTTGCTTTATTCTCGTTTGATGCACTTTTTTCTTTAGTGGTGGTACCAAGACCTTTTGATTCGAGATGCAGCTCATCATCCAACTGCCATGATAAATAATTATTTCCTGATATGTCGAGGACCTCGAACTCGATATTTGTCATTCTTGCCATTATGACTAAACAAAAAAATAAACCATACATTAGCTTTATTCATTATCATAGAAAAGACAACATAGTGAAATACATGATTACATAGAAATTGTTATAATTAGCAACACGTAAACGAGAGGTAAGAGCGCAACGCAAATTGAAAACAAAAATGGATCGGAATTTTTGTCGAAGAAAATAGTAAATGTTGCTGTTAAAACTGGTAGAACAAAAAGAATTTTAATAAAATTCATCTTGAGAGATTTTTTTTCCGTGGGAGAAGAGAAGAGAATGAGATGATTTGATGTGAATTTTTTGAGTGAATGAGTGAGTGTATTTATAGGATAAAATTTACTATTCCTAGCCGTTGGGGATGAGCCAAAATTTGATTTTTTTTTAATGGTAGCCGTTGGAAATTTTTTTTTTTGAAAAATTTTATAAATGATTTTACCAATTTATATTATAAAACTATATATAAAATAATTTATCAAAACGAATTATTAAACTATTTTATAAAATTAATTGATTATGCTATATATATAATTAACTAATTATTGAGGAAACAAATAATTTATAATTAATGTAACGATATATGAAAGAATTTATAAAACTTTATTTGTAAATTTTACACATTTTTTTGTTCAAAACATTTTCTATATAAATGACCATCAATATTATATATGATAATATTTTGCATGATGGATATTTATTAATTTATATAGATTAGATAATATAATTGTTTATATGTGGCAGTATTACCATATGCAGAAGTAAAATAATTCATACAGCATTGTCATTCATAAAGAATAAACACAATAGTCTATTAGTAAGTAAGACGGCATATCCGTCCAATATTAACAATTAAGGCGGCATAGCCGTCCAATAACAGATAAATAATTAAGGCGGTAAAGCCGTCCAAATTAATAATTAAGGCGGCACAACCGTCCAATAATAAATAAATATTTAAGGCGGCATAGCCGTCCAGATTAACAATTAAGGCGGCATAACCGTCCATGAATAATAATCAAGGTGACATAGCCGTCCATGAATAATAATCGAGGTGGCATAGCCGTCCATAAATTAATTATAAAGAATATCGGTATTCATATATAGTTCGGGGTTAATTCCATTCAAGTATCAATGAATACATGTATATATCATAAGAATAAAAATATTAGTATTAAAGATAAGTTATCTTATCTAGCGTTCGTACTGATAACGTGTTATGAAATCAGGGAAATATAAAGGACTCGGATATTAGATCGTTTAACTATAACCGAATACAATATTTTAGGAGAATGGAGAATGTATTTTTTATTGATTTATCTCTTGAAAGTGTACAAATGGAGGAACTCAAATGGCCTATTTATAAAAATTCCGAAAGTATTGTTCACGTATACGGTCGGTGTGAACAATACCGTATACGTGGGCTCCACCATAAATATATTTTATTTATAACATCACTATCCCATTTTAGGTTTTGTTAGACTTTTCATTCATAATGGGCTTCAAAATCTGCTCCGTCCTATATCAACCCAAAACGGAAGCGTAAATTAACCACCAAGACTAAGAAAATGTTAAGAGGCAACATATAGTTGCTTTCACCACCATTTCTAATCTAACTTCTTCTACAATCGTATCTGTTTCTAATGGGTTGAAGCCACGATTGCTTCAAAAATCCATCCTTTTTCTCAATGTGGGGTTCTTGATTCGTGCAAAGCAGCCATTTTTATTTTCAGAAATCCCTGCTTTCCTCAATGTGGGTTCATTCATATGGAAGCTTAGCAGAAACCAGAAGAACATCTATGGCGGCGGTAACTTTGATTTTGATCTTTGGGTATAAAAATGGCGTTCAATTTTGTTATAATATAGATGTATACACCGTGGTTTCCATCACAGCACCTCTCTTTTCTTCGCTCTACCCTCGCTCAAGAACAAGAATATGAACACATTCGAGACGGAGATCTTTCGAAATTCCACGAATTATAGGCAAATAAGCCGCGCCTAGGGACCCCGGTAAGATTCCGGAAACAACCTCTGCAGCAAGTTATTCTTCAGCTTGAATATCAGGGCAAAGAGGCCGTAACACGGCAAATGCATCACTCCAACCCCCAAGTACCTGCAAAACCATGGTAGATTTCCAATGCAAAAGCTCACAAATGATGAACCGAACTCTTCCTAACCAGTCATTGTTGATCTTTGTTCTTAGTATTACTCAATAGATACAGTGCTCTGAATGCAGGTTTCATACCATAAAGGAGCATATCTTGATGACAAATCCAGAAATTGATAAGGCCACCTGCAGTGATGGATACATTTAGCTTAAACCAAAACCCAAATAAAAAAAATTCAAATTTTTTGAAAGGGTTATGTCGCCGGCTTCAATCTGTGGGAGCTTTCTTGCAAGACTACAAGATCAGAGGATTGGTGAAGCAGTGACTGAACCCAGACACTGATTTGTTGTGGTTGTGGGTGTACCGCTAATTGTGGAGCTTGGGTTTGTAGACCAAAGTGGTTTTGTGTGTACAGATGATGTAAAATTAGCAATTTAATTTATAGTAAATTTGTTGGCTCTTGGTTGCTTAGTTGTTGTTTTAAGAGTGTACCATATATTGTTGAAGGCATGGACTATCCATTGATACATCATGAAGGCCACGCTCCAAAGAACAAAGTAAGCAATCCGGAATAAAGGGAACCGCTGAATGAACAAGAAGTTTAGTCTGAAATTCAGGAAGGGGAGAATGAGTACTTGCAAGAAGAGGAGTTACCAAAGCATTGAGAGCCGTGTCACCGAGGAGAAACACAGCATTGAGGGAATGCATGCACGCAGCAAGCTGCCATGGGAAACACAAGAAATGACTAAATGTTATGGGTAATTAAGATACTATACCTTGATAATATCATCCATAATGAAAAACCAAGACCTTGTTTTGAATCGGGTTATCACTGTTCACAGTCAAGTTTTACATTTTAATCATCAGAAAAAACCAAACTTTCAGTTCATGAATCTGAGAACGTGAATTCTTCTGGAAGCCCTTATGTTCTTTCTGGCAAAAACTATGTATAAACAGTTCATGTCCTGAAAGTAAAAGGGTATATAGAGTCAAAAACTTACAAAACTCAGCTTGGAACCTTTGGTGAATGGGTACAGAAGCAACCAAAACACGATATCTGTGAGCACAACGGCACCAGCGCAAGTCTGCCATGGTAGAAAACTTTATAAGTTCCAAAAACCATTACATCACCATGCATTGCCCATTAATTAGCAAGGCAATAAATTCTTAGCCACCATTTTCTGTCAATCGAAAACAAAGGAATTGCAGAAGCACCTAACGGAAGACTTTATACCTGAAAAACAACTTGAAAGATGTAAACCCATAACCCTGCTGTTTTGCGAAGGGGTACTTCTTCACATGTATCAGAAGCTTTCGATATGTTTACTGCCTCGTCAATGGCTGTAAGTCCATAAACTCCTTGCTCTGCAGCATCTGTGCTTGTATAACTCTCCATGTTACGACCATCTTCCTTGTCATGTATGAAGAAGCATCCATAAATGGACAGCGATGAAGCATACTGCAAAAGAAATCAAAGCTTAGTGTCCAAAACTTCGACAGAAACTATTCTTTTCGACATATAATAGCCAAAGTTTGTTTCGAGGTCGAGAGGTTTTAATATCGTACATAGTAAGAAGCTATACCCCAAAGTAGAGCGTGACAAGCGTAAACGTCCACCTGTTTAGCCAATAACATAAGACGGTTTATTCAGCAAAATAGGGCAATGTGTTTATCAATAGAAATGAAAACTTGATTGCTTAACGCCATGCAAGATAGAAACAACAGATTCGACACAAATTTTCTGATGACATACTCGGTATAGAAGTAAAATATGCCGCCTCCATCCCTGACAACGTTGGAAATGAGCAAAGCCGACATTGCAACAAAAGCAAAGACCCTATAGGCAAGCAACCAAGTAGGATGGATTCCTTTAAGACAGGTGTTCCAAGCTTCATCCTCAAACACGGTACCAGTTGGTTCCCGCTGGCTTTCCCTTCTCTCACGGCCTCGTCTTTTAACCCCTTCATATCTCCATATAAGAATTGCTGCTATGGTTAACGGAAATAAGAGGACTAATGCACAGAGGAACACCCTCCAATTCAACCAATAAATTGGGGCTGTTGTATCAGCAGCCATTGTAATATCAGAAGCTTGAGGTTCCTGATAAAACAACATTCAGAAAACATTATTAAATCTCGTTTTCACAAGCACTTGGCTCATACTTCTTGTGAGGATGAGTTTGTGGAATCTGCAAATATCCCTCATAACGAGTCATCTCAAGCTCCAATTTCGAACTAATAAGCACTTAAGACGCATTGTATATACAAAATACACAAGAATCAACACTAAATTGTATCTAATATTTCTCAGAACTTGGACAAATTCGAACACAAACCTTAAAATACAACAATATATCCTCAAACTATAGCTTTCCGATGAATAAATCCATAGGATTGCAAGACATGATCAACACAATTATTCGACGAGAAACACGCAACTACAAGACGAAACCTTTCCACAACACTGGGAACTCTTAACAAAAAAAATTAACAAATGCAGGATTAAGTAAACCACAAACACGAACTTGAGAAGACCAACGAAACAGAGAGAAACCCACATCATCAAAAGCAGAACCAAACTCGACCCAGAACGAAAGGTTCAAAAATTTTCCACCAGAAGCAAAGATTAAACACATAAACAGATGCTAGTGAACGAAGGCGAGTGAAATTACTTCGATATTCGAACACCCTTTCTGTCTGATCTTCGAATTGGTTCGATCAGAGTCTCAGCAGTCCCTCCCTTCCCTGAAGATCTTTGAGAATTGACTATATGGCTAAAACCCAAAAAAAAATTCAAAAACTTCAAAAAAAGAAAGAAATCGTGGGTAATAAGTAATTACGGCAGATAAAGGTTGCAGGTTTTTCTATCTGTTAATTAATAAATAATTAGCTAATAGAACCGGTTTAACCAATTGAATAGAGCCGGTACATCCCGGTTATGTTTGGTTTAAGGCTATGATTTGTTGTGGTTGTGGGTGTACCGCTAATTGTGGAGCTTGGGTTTGTAGACCAAAGTGGTTTTGTGTGTACAGATGATGTAAAATTAGCAATTTAATTTATAGTAAATTTGTTGGCTCTTGGTTGCTTAGTTGTTGTTTTTATCGCTTTTGTGAAAGTTTGGCCTATTTTGACAACGTAGTTAACTTGGGATTAACAATGTAAGTAACTTGAGATTTGATGTTTATAAGAGGGTGCATGTTAGATTAGGGTTTTTTTTAAAATTATTTCAGACCTTTTTTGTTTTGGACAACTAAAACCATTTTATTTTTTATTTGTTATATTTCAATTTTTTTTACTCAATTCGAATTTTATTCAGGTTTAATTTTTTATTATTAGAAATATTTATTTTCCAGAAAATTATTAAAATTTTCTATTATTTTGTTGATTAATAAGAAAATTAAGAATAAGAGAAAACCCAAAAAGTACAACAAGAGTTTAATGCAAATGGTGAAATGGGGGCAAATCAACCAATGTGTATTGAAGACTTCCGCGTTATATTATTACCACTTCACAGTTATGTCGAATAGTCTCCGAACATTAAATTCTGAACAAACTTATTTATGACATGAGTCACTTAATATATATATATATATGTATGTATTACTCGACATGTGAATGAAAACAAATATACTACATTTTTGTTATATAAAAACATTAATTTTAATCTATATCAATATAAAAATTAAAAAATCTATTAAAATTGTAAACGAATTTTTTTAATTATGTTATATTTATTAATACACAAGTAAATTTTCTAATCGTAAAACTTTTTATATTTGCATGATTAAAATGACATTTTCATGAGAATCAAGCCTATGAAGAAATCGTAACAGGGAAAGGGCATTCTTCTTTTGTTCTTGTTGGCACAATTAGTTGGCCCTTTAATGTCCGATAAGTTCATATCATCAGTTTGCTTGAATTTGCAAATATATACACACGCACACGCATAAATATATATATATGGGCATTATCCAAAATACCCTCCTTTTGCTAAAACTACTTCTCCACATACCCTTCTTCAGTTGTGACCTTGTGACCAGAATTCATATATGGTCACATGATGGTCACGTTGGTCATAACGTTAAATTTATAATGATTACATCAAATCACCATGGTCACACCTTACATATCACACTAATCATTTGGTAAAATCATCAAAAATTTAACGTTGTGATCAATGTGATCATCATGTGATCATACAATTATTCTGGTCACAAGGTCACAACTGGAGAAGGGTATGTGTAGAAGTAGTTTTAGCATAAAGAAGGTATTTTGGATATTTTGCCTATATATATATATACACCATTATTCTCAATTATAAATATGTAGGATTAATAAACAATTTTCTTAGACAAGCACTTTCTTATTCATGCGCGGTCTACATTTTCATTTTGTTACATTTATTGCAACCACTCTTACACGTCTAAATTTAAACCTCTACGAAAATCTCCAGCATTGTTTCAAGCTTCATTGATTTCATGCATATATATTACAGCTTGCAAACATCATCATCATCATAAATCCAGCAGAATATATTTGTTTCAGTCGATCATATATATATATATATATATATATATATATATATTACTGCTAATTAATCTTGTATACGATTTAACTATCAAATTGTTCAACGTTTTCTCCTTGCGAACCGATGCGATTTGCGTTGTGCGTGCCCACCTGAAAAACGGGAAACCACATCATATTTCATTAAATTTATCTTCATACTATTATTAGTATGCGTATACTAGCACTTCACATCATCCATGTTCTTAGGGTTCATCTTTACTAGTGCTGTATGTAGGGTGCGAAACGGACCGGGTCGGCTCCACCCGACCCGATCAAAACCAACACGTTTTGGGTCCAATTCAACTCACCTTTTTACTAGTCCAAAAATCTTTACTTGTCAAACGAGCCACCTCGCCTCGTTTGGCTCGGATCATTTTGGATTCAACTCGTTAGATTCGTTTTCTAACGAGTCTGAAAAACCTCGGCTCAGATCGCTCGCCAGTTTTCCTATCTGAACGAGTCGGCTCATTGAACTAGAGATATATAATATTTTTTATTTATATTTATTCTAAATTTAACTATAAATTTAAATAAATACATCAAAAATTAATAAAATTCCAGTATAATTTAATATTTTCAATTATCACCATCATAATAATTAAGATATTTATAATATCATATGAATGACATAAAAAAAGGAATATAAAATTATATTAGAATTTTTTTTATATAAATTTAATTTATTTAAAAAAAAAAAGTCAGTTCGTTGAGTAACTCGCGGATCCAGGCTTATTGAACACGTGTTCAATGAAACTGGCTCGTTAGGCTCGTTTTTTAATGAGTTGAAAAAATTGTGCCTCAGATCGCTTGTTTTCTGATGAACCAGGAGCCAGCTCGCGAGCCGGACTCGTTTTGACACCCCTAGTTTAAACCGATTGTTTCGACTCATGGGCCAAATAAAAATATTAAACAATAATAATAATAAGAATATAACAAATAATAAAAATAAAATAAAAATTTTTAAAAGATATATTTTTTTTTGTCTAACTCGCGCGCTGGCTCACAACGAGTTTGCTCGTTTGGTCCTTTTTTTACACATTCAAATTTCTCGAGTTCCGCTTCGCGAACTGAGTTCTTTATTTGCACCATTAGCCTTATAGGGTTAACAAGTTCTCATTTTCATAGAAAACACGGTAGAAAAAAGAGCGAAAACATCGGAAAAATTCTTACTCGGGAACGGTCTCCGGCCGACGAAATCTTGATAAGTTTGGAAGAACTCTTTGTTCTCCTTCTGAAGCTCCCTCCAAACTTAGAAAAAAAAAAGCATACAGTAACTGTTAGTTACCGATCCTTTAAGAGAGAGATGTTTGCCATCAGACAAAGGGTTTCTTTGCAAGATCGAACCTGTGAGGGTAACGAGGGGACGGATACTCGCATGCTCCGCTAACGCCTCTACGCACTGGTCACGGGTCATTTGAAGCATAATACACCTCTCTATCAGTTGATGAACCTGTTACAAAATGTTTCATTCAAACCCAATTAAACTTGGTGATGCATATATATGTTCAGTCATGTATGTATATGTGACATGTACGTATATACACAAGCGAATACATATATGTCGATATAATATGCGTACCATTCGAATGTAGGAGTGCGGTTGGCAATGTAAACAAGGGAGGTTGTGTTGTGTATGGTACATTCTTTCTTCTCTTCAAACCAAAAACAAAAAAGGGCACTGCAAAAAGGGACAGCCAAGAATCTTGGAGACAAGGAACAATATGGAAAAGAACAAACTTGAGGATATTTTACACAGAAGCTACACACACATATATATACCCACACACATATGCATATATGCACATGTGGATATATGTATAGATTGGGAGGGGGTTATTGAATGGCAAAAGGGTAATGGTTATCCAGAGATATCCAAGTGAAGGGCTAAAAAGAGACGAGAGGAACCAAAAGGATTAGATTCTCTCTCTCTCTCTTAACCTCATGAGATAAATGAATGGGAACTAACTCGTCCTTTGATAATTGACTTCAATCAAACCGTCCTTTCCCCCCCTTTCCCCCCTTCTATTTAGCTATTTTTCCCTCTACGAAAACATGATCCAGCTTTCGAATTTAGTCGCAATCTTTCAATCTTGGTGCCATTATTACATTTGTTTCTTAGCAAAGACTCGTTGCATGTATCAAATAATAGATCCAAAACCTTATCCCTCATCGTTCACTAAATTAATCAGTCCAAAGATTACGATATCCTTATCGCCAAAAAAAAAAACGATTTGTCATTGTTTTTTATATTTTTGTGGCAAACATATGAACACTCGAAATCATCGGTCTTTTACATAAACCCTTTTGAGCATAGAGACTAAACAACGAATTTGTCAAGTCAGATTTTAAAGACAATGACCGGACAATCCTTGCCCTTACAAAGTGTTTGGTTATGCTTTTATTTTGTGGCCAAGCTATAGCCACTTGAAATATCAGTAATTCACAGACGGGCCTTTTACGTGCACGGCGACGAACCACGAATATTCCAAAGGCTCTCCGCAAATTCAGCATATGCAATACTTTCACTCGGACGGTCATTATTCATCGCATTTATGAGACCCTTGCATGGCTATAAGATGGTCACGTAATTCAAATTCACCCACCTTATTCATGTCCCCGTGACTAGTACTACCACCACTACTCAAACGTTTTCAAAGCAGAAACCAAAGCACCTTGAACTCAGCTGATTCAAGAATGTAGCTATTAAGAACTCACAAGTCACAACCACTCCCAGATCATCAAAATGAACCAAAATGGGAAGAGATCAATACATAGATCGGCTTTTTGGATGAAAGAATTCGTGTGTGTGTGTGTGTATATGTCAATACCTAGTCATTACCAATCGCCGATAACAATGTGATTCAGACAAAAGTGTCTTCGGTTTTGTTGGTTATAGCATATCCTTCAAGTGTTGTCAGATTTCTCGAGAGCTGCAAGAAAAAAATCCGGATGTAGAAACGGGAATCAGCAAAGATGTACTATTGCGAAAGCCTACTAAAAAACCCGACTTGAGGGACAGAGAGTGAGTACTATTGTAGTTCAGAAGCTTCTCGATGAGATCAACATGTGTCATAAGCATCCGCCTGCAGCAGTAGCGGACTAACCCGAGGGCATCAAGGGCATCTCTGAATCCAGACATAAAATTTTCGTTTTCACAAGAATATGATTGGACAATGGTAATCAATACTCAAAAGTTGACAATGAAGGCTTCTCTTTTTCATAAAGTTAAGACAAGTCATTATCTCACGAAGAAAATGAGAAACCTTCTCGGATGAAAATAACACCCATCAACACTCAGATACATCATTGTTACTAGAATCAGCCTATCAGGAAGAAACGTAAACAGGGCATCTCCAAACTTACTCAGCTAAAGATATTAGCTAGCTACTAAGAACCGAATACCACAAGATTAGAATCATTAGATTTAGAATTCCTCTTTATCACTGTAGCTGGAGCTTGGAACAACTGTCCACTGAAATAACATCCCAAGTTATCACATTTATCATAACAAGAGTGAGAAACAGAGTTGTGCACTATTATGCTAGGCCAGTCCGGAGCATCAGCCACCCAAATGCAAAGCAAACACAGTCCAAATACTCCACAAGAACTTACAGAACATTGAAAAAGCGACAACTGAAAATCACAATGACTACCTTCACTCTCTACAGTAGAAGAGAGAATTTATAAGCTCGAGATGCAGAATAAAAAAAACGATAAGCCTGGAAAGACTAAACCGAGCAGGACAAACTCTTACCCAATGCAAGTAACATACTAGAGCCCGAACACTATAGCATAAACTAGAGCCCAAATTGTATTCCTGGCTTTCATCTGACCGGGATTATTGCTCTAGTATTTTGCTTCTCGAAACACAAACGGAACTGATATGGGTTTGAGAAGAATCTAATTCTAAGGTCACTAACCTCATGTCCAAATGACAACATGCTTATCAACATAAGTACCACCGGATGAGAATTGGAAGATGAAACCAATTGCAGGCAACTTACCCTTCGGAGTAGTCAGCCTGGAGAAGGTCAAGATATGTGTCCCATTTGTTGCCAATCACCTAAACATCACATGTTCAACACGTAAAGCAAGCTCAACACTTCATTTCTCAATTCTCAAACAAACACCTACCTAATCATGATTAAAAAAAAAAGTTCAACATCTCACCAATCACAGAAGTAATTACAAGCTAATAATCTATTATATACCCGAATGATATTGAACCGATCATGTCTCAATCCAACTATCCAAGTACTTGCTCAGTTTATCAACAACCCATGAGAAGAAACAACCGATTGAGAACGATAAAAAGCCTTAATATTTTTCCCAAACAAGCCCTAAAAATATCGAAACCCTAAAAAAGCAATTCATCAAGATCAAACAAATATTCAGAATCCAGATGATTCCAAGGAAAATATTTTACCTTTCCACAGGTAAAGCAACGAACTGGGATTATCATTTTCGAAGAACTTAGCTCGTGTCTCGTTCTCTCTAGGGTTTAGGGTTTTTCTGTTTCGCGCTTCTCCCCAAAGATTATGAGACCGGAGAGGAGTTTTGACGGCTACAACAAACGACAGCGTTTCAATGAACACTGAATGTTCTCTTCTTCTGGGCCGATTTTTAGGTGTATACATTTTGTTATGGGCCCACGGGCCCATTTAAAGTGTAAAATCATGAAAATATACACACGGATGTGTATTCTGTAGTAGTGTGTTATTTTTTCTCGCATATTTCGAACCCACAAGTTGTGGAAATTTCAGAAATAAAATTAAATTTTCATATATATATATATATATATAGGAACGACTAGCTATTAAATTATTGATTTCTACGGGTTTAGATAAAGCTTTCATAAAGCTATAATTGGAGAATATTTATGGAAAAAATATATTACAGATATAAAAATAGTAAATACATTAAGAATTAGATTAGAAAACATATTCTTGTGAGATACAATCATTATGTGTATATGTATGTATGAAAACCCCACTTAAATATATCAATTTTTAAAAATATTATAGAAAATATGTAAATTCGTAAACTCACATAAAAATATATCAATTTTTGCATAATTCTCTCAAAATCATATACAAACTCTAACGTTCCGGTTACAAACGTGGTATGGTATATTATATGACTATATATGTTTATTTTGTTAAGATTTTGCCCTAATACTAATTAAAAAAAACGTACACGCATCTAGACAACAAATGTTAACAGAATAGTATTAGGGCAAAATAAGAGACAAAACGTTAATTGCGGATGAAATAAATATACACGTGATCCTTGACTTTGGTATTTTGCGAACATTAATTACACACACACATACAAATAAAAACTTTATAAATATATATATATATATATGGCAAGTTATGCGCATGATGCTAAGGTCGTCGAGTGTAATGAGAACAAAGTGGTTGCGACAAAAGAAAAAAAGAGGAGATGAAGCCACATATGTTTTGTCTTTCTAATTTTAAGAAGCAACAGAAACGGTAAATCAAATCTGACACTCCAATATTATATACTGTTCATACATGGATACAAACACACAACATTATATTTATAATATATATGTGATTGGGAATTGTGATTAATTTGTGTAATTACAAGACGGTCCAATTGATCATATCTTGAATTGGATATTCACATGCACAACCACCACCACAGCTCCAAACAGCAACGCCCCCAACGCCACACAAATTCTAATGTTTATCACTTTTGGCTCTACATTGTGTACATAAGTGTGTGTATACACACACACACACACATATATATATATATATAATATGGAGCACATATGCCTGCATTTGTTTCTAGAACAAATACATAGCTAGTTACCAAAAAAAAAATAGCTTTTGATATGAATATAATGTATGTATGTATATGTATGCATATGTAATATACCAAAAATATATATGTGTGTGTGCAGTGGCGGATCCAGAAAAAAATATTAGTGGGGGCAATAGATGACCGTTTCGATATTCGGTTTAGAAATAGATCGGTTCGAATCTTTCGGTTTTAGAAAAATATGTATCAATTGGTTATAATATCATATTCAGTTCGGTTTGGTTTCAGTTTTTATTAAAAAATGTATGTGATGTTTTATTAAAAAAATTATTTTTCAGGTTTTTTAAAAATTCGGTTCATATCAATAAATTTGGTTTTCTAAAAATAATACCGTTCGGATTAAATAAAATATCGTATTGTTCAGTTTTGTACGGTTCGATTATAAAATCGTACCAAAACATTTACTCTAAAATATTATATAAACAATATACTGTCAAAATAATATTTATATTTTACTACTAAATTCTATGATTTTTTTTATTTTTAAAATTTATCTATAATAATTTTATTTATATTTGTCTAAAATATATAATTTTCGATAAAATAAACTAAATAAAAATTGTAACTTTGACGTTTTTAATTTAGTTTCTGTTTATTTTTTGTCTTGTGTTTAATATTAAATTTGTAATTTTTTTAGAAAATTGAGAGAGAAAAGCAAAAAAAATATGGAAATAAAGATTAAGAAAAAAAGCGTAACAAGATCTAATATTTAGAAAGAAAAAAAATTAAAATAATAAAAAAAATGAGAGGAGAGGGGGCAAAACAAAAAATTAAATGGGGGCCTTTGATATTTTTTATCAAAATTTTATAACTATTATAAATAAATAAATAAAAATTTAGCAAAATATATGGGGGCGTGGGACCCACACCAATACATGTGGATCCGCCCGTGTGTGTGTGTATATGTGCGTGAAATATAGGACCGTTCTTATAACATTCTCACCCCATTTTACCACAAAAAAAAAACTCAGTTTCCTTCCTAAATTCAGTAATGATGAAGATAATTCGAAATATAAATCTCACATCAAAATAACATTAATGTATTTTTTTTGTTCTATCATGTGTATATTTAGACACAAGAATTCCATCTTAGAGGGGTGTGGAAACCGTTGCTTTTCCACGAGGTCCCAAATTTTAAGTGCTCCGCAATTTTATTAATTTTTTTTTATTTTTTAATTGTTGAAATTAGCGCATTCTTAATTAGGTCACGTATATATGTGTGCACCGTCCGGACCGATCGAGGCTTCTGAGAAAAATTCGATTATTCTCATCGTTTCAATTTATCAGATGTTATTCGTTCATCATTATGTGCGTGATCCTATAAATTAAAACTCATATATACGTCATATATACGAAGTGATAACAGACAGAAAATCTAATTTCGATCCACAAATCATAAATGATCTCTAACAAGATATTATTATTATTAATTATAAATAGAGTTACATGTGTTTTGACCGCATGTCAATAATAGTTCAAGTAATGATCTTTTTGTCATGTAATATTTGTCGAATAGAATCATACACCTTATCAATTTTGATTGTTTTTTACGTTCATAAAACAGTGTGTAAATAATAAATAACAATCATATATAGTGATGTTATACATTTCTACAATTCTATTCACTCATAACATGATTGAGTAATACTCTTATAATCATTCGGTTAAAGTGGCGTAATCAAAACATTATGTTTCTCATGTCAGATACCATAGATATCTTAGATATATATGAGGATCGAAAAATGAACCATTATATGAGATTCAAATCATATCTCGTATCAATATGATAAACTCATGCGGATTATCTAGTCCTTTGTTTCAAATAAGTATTGATGGTCATGATCCGTATGCAATACACGTAATCATTTGCGTGATTATGCACCACACCTCATTTTAGTATTAAGTTATCATCATTTTTACGAGATAATAGTCGATTAGAGAACTTAGAAACATTCAAAACTATCAATCAATTTTATTATTTATCAAATATATATAAATATAAATAGCAAAAAAATAATGTACTCATCCGATAAAAGTTATTACAAATGTACAGATTTTTATATCACAAAACATTATAAATCGCCTAAACCAACAAAAATCCAGTTCAAATAGAAGGCACATTAATATATAAATTTCATAGGAAACGAAACTCTTTCATAATTCCTAATAATTAAATAATTAGAAACAATTTAATTGGCATACAAGAATTAATCCCGATTTTTTTTAATATAAAATTCATATTTTCAACAAAAACAATTTTGAACCTAATATAAAATAGAGTGAACCGAAACCCAAAATATATATTCATATGTAACTATAATGTATTAAGCCGATTCCTTTGTTTCGTGGATTATATGATCCAACATTCAAACTCGTGACTAACTTTCTTGCGGAACCACGCAACATACATGTGGACAAAATCGTCGATGGAACTGGGGAGCGAATATATACGTATATTATTTTACATTAACCTATATATTATTGACACTATCTACGCGTGTCGACAGAGAGACAAGTGCAAAAAAAAAAAAAAAATTAAATTAAATAGACGAAGTTATTTGGTTTTATTCGATCTAACAAATCAACTCATTTTTTTAATATCTATATTATTGTTGTGATTATGGGTTGATTCTTACAAGAGAATCCTATTTGGTGGGAGATATATATATATATATATATATATATATATATATATATATATTATATTACTAGGATTAATTAATCAACTTGATACATTAATAATTTTAACATATGAAAACACATATACTAGTAATTAACATGATATGGCATTCGAAAATATAATCAACTTCATTATAAATTTACTATAAAGTATAGATAAATTGATAGAATCAGACCTTTCGATCGATATGAAGATCCGAGCTTTGATTAGTTCTACGTGTTTCGAAAATATATATTGTTTTCCGAATTTTGTTAGAACACAAAAAGAAAACTAATAGATCAAAATGAAAATATAGATGTCAATAGACAAATTCCAATGCAATGAAGTCTTGTATGTTTGGAAAATTTGCTCAAGAAATAAAGGACAGAAGGATAATTTCAATGTAGGCGATGCATGGGGGAGTTCACGGGCAAAGGAAGGTTACAATTATATATATATTTATATATATATATATATATAAATATTTTTTAAAAAGGTTCACGAGGATGTCTGCGCAAGAGGACACCTTATAGAAGAACGTACCTTTTGAATTTCCGAAACCAAAACGGAAAAAAGGAAAGCAAAGAAAACATAACAAAAACCAAAGAAATATCAGCCACAGAAAAGTAAAATCCCATCCACTATTTTAGGGGAAAAAGATTGTGTGGATAAAACTATATATATTTATATATATATATATATAACCTATACATACACATATATACACTTTATATGAGGGTACTATTGTAAATATATGTTTAAGTACCCTTGGTTTTTTCGTTCTAAATTGAGTAAATTAATAAGACACTGTTCAATTTCGTTGGTTTTATACGATTTGTGTTGGTGAGAATAATGAAAATTACATACATACATACATACATACATACATACATACATACATACATACATACATGGCATGCATACATACATACATACATACATACATGGCATGCATGCATGCATGCATACAATAGATTAGATTATTTTTTATTGAGATCTGGCTTCAATAATACCTTCGAAGAGAGGTAACTCAAGATGTATAAAGGTTTTGACGTATCATACTGTACGGTCCACGTTACATATACATATACGTATTATGTATATGTACAGACATGAATCTTATTATATTGTGCTTTTGCATATTATGTTTCACATAAGAGATTTGTAGAGGACATAGCATGAGCTGGGAAGTCAAACTCTTAAATGTATATATGTATTATATGTATATATTTGTGTATATATACGTATATTTATTTTTTACTATTTATAAGGTGTGTACAAAAATATTATAAGATTTATATCTACGTTCTCTTATTCTATTTTCCCGGCCATTGCACGATTCCTCTTCCATTCTGCTTTATACAAAATATGGTTTTTTTATATGCATAGGAATAAATGTTCTAAAAAAAAATGTAAATTTTATAAGTGACACAATATATATATGTGTGCGTGTGTGTGTAAATAAATCTGGAAAAACTCAAAATTGCAGAGTAAAACATTAAATAAATCTCTCTATATTTCATTTTGTTGAACTATTACAATTATTAGACCGAGTTTGGAATATAACCATAGAGTTGATTTTAGATGGAACCAAGCATTATTCGAAAACCTATTTTTAACTATAAATTATATAATTGTTTGCCTTATAAAGTCTCAAATCACAAAAACATTCTGGACCATATTTTCATTATATTACTAAAAAAACATCGAAATCGAGACAATAAAATATTATTAACAGTGATAATTTAATCGAAAAAAATTACAATTGACACCAAAAAACACCGTCGCCAAATCGGATTTGTTGTCTTTAGCAATAATTTTGTAATATAATATTTCGCTATCACAGTTATAGGGATGGATTTCTTCAAATCGTCGATAACATTTGCAATGTAATTGTACTACACAATTCCTTTATCAATTTTGAAATACAGTTGGAAAATAAATTAGTATTAGTATTACGTTACAAATATTGAAGTTTTAAATTAATTTAGAACGGCATATAAATGTTAACATGGATAAAGGTTTTAGTTTCGGATCGATCGGGGTTTCGTTTTCATCGCACCCTATACATATATATATATATATATATATATGAACTGAACCGTACGGCTTATATCGAAATAATTGGGTGATTACATGTAAGTTGCATTAGTATATCAAAAGACTCCACTTAATTCAAATTGGAGTCTTTATTTAGTAATTAATACGGAGGCTACGCTCTAGTTTTATAATTGGGTTTGGTCCGACGGATCTTGATTCTTCAAGCTTCTTACCATAAAAAATATTTGTAATAAACAGGTTGTTCTGCTTATGCATCTCTTACCAATGACACGTGGCATTTTCGAGAATTTAATGACAGTGTTATTTGGACGTATACATTAGTATAGCTGTGAATTCTGTAAAAATAAACTGAAACAAACAGAAGATCCAAGTAGAAACCAATCTGGCATTAATTAGTCTCCTATGAGATCTCTGACACACCTTTCACAAATAAGTTATTATTATTATTATTAGCCGATCTCATTTCCATTTCCACAATTAATTACTCATCCTAATATTATTTTACATAAAAAAAAATATTACCGAAAAATGAAATTGAATTTCAGGGTATGGAAAACAAACCCAAAATCTTTTGAATTCTTCAAAGCATGCTATGCAGCTTATTTAATTACACTGTACTATCAACCATGGAAGTGAATTGCCATTTGTTGTAATAAGCATATATTGTATGGCCGTCAAAATCCAATTCATGTGATCATATCACATTCTTTGAGAATAATCTTTTTATTTGCAAACGAAAATAAAAAATCAGAATTCCACACAAATCACAGATCATATTTGTTTGTATTTTTATCCCATGGTTTTTATTTTCTGAAGACTTAGAAGTTATTTATTATTTCTCTTTTGATTTTAAATATTGCCTATAACCCGACTTGTAAATTAATTAGACTCTTCAAGGACGAATTATGTACAATATTTTCTTTTTGGTTAGGACAGAACAAAAACTTTATACAACTGTGGGAGTTGAGCCTTTTTTTTTGCACTTTTTTAAACGTCAATTATTTATTTTTCGTAAGAATACTAATATTTAAGAAAATAATAAAAATAAAAGAAATACTATGAGCGCACAAAGCTTTTCCTGAATCCCAAAAATGGTTTTTGTCGATCCGTACATGATTTGCATAATCGTGTCAGTATTATTTTTTTTTGTCAACAACTATATGTATATGCCCAATTATTACCTTATTTATTCAATATATTATATTAAATTCTATTATAAATTAAAATGTAAGCGATCCGTATATTATTCACCAAACACAGATATAAAATTTTGTTTGTGAGCAATATTATACGCACACCCACTACCCCTATGTTATTCCCCTGCTATTATATATATATATATATATATTATCAATTATAATGTTGTTACTATTCGTTATTATTATTTTTCTATTATAAAAATCTATATACACAAACGATTATATTTAATATTCTGGAGTTAAACAGTACACTAACTTATATATAACATCAATAAAATCAAGATTTAGGACTTATCATTATTGATGTGAAGTAATGCTGACACTTGTACTTCGTCATAATATATTTCACGAATTTAAATGGGATATAAATATTTTTAATACAACTATGCGAAAAAAGAAAATGTGTATGGTGGGGAAAACTACAGTTAGAGATTCAGATCATCAGTTACCTAGGAAACATGTTTCAGTTACTTTCTGTTTTCCGTTTCCTTTTCCTTTGTTTTGGTTTTCCGTAAAAAAACATGCAAGGATTATACTAATGGTAATGTTTTAAAAGTTCTTTTTTTTTGGTACGGGTAAAACCTTCATATTATATATATATATATTACTCGAAAATTTATAAAACTTTCGATCCAACTACATCTCTCAAAATCCAAAAACAATCATTATATCAATCCAACTATATCTCTCGAAATCCAAAAGCAATCATTATATCATAATTAAATTATATATTTTCCTTTTATTCATAAAATCGATATATCGTAATTAAATTGTGCACTTTATTCTATTCGTAAAATCGATGTATCCTTCTTTCTGTTCGTGAAATCGAACATGACACAAAATTGATCACTAATCTACCATAAGGTGATAACCTTCATTATATTTAAATTTTTTTCTCGGTAATATTCAAAATTGTTGGTAATATTAAAGAACGAGAACATAACAATAACAGAAAATTGATATTTTATTGATCTATTATTCCATCCATAGATGGCTATATATACATATATGTATATATTATATAATATTTGGAGCTGGGCAGTTCGATGGTTTGTGTCTGAAATGTTTATTATGAAACTAGCTGGTTCTACGAATATATCAGAATTTTCCTTTAGTTAGTTGAAAAGTTTTGGATTCTCTCATTAGAAAAAACAATATTGAAGAAGAATATAAGAAATCTAAAATTTAAGAAAAAAAAATAAAAATAAATTGGGAGTTGTGGAGACAAAAGTGAAGCCCGTGAAGGGATGCATGTGAGCACTAAAAGATGTGTGACCATCAGTGCCCCTTTGACAACATATAGACCCACTCACGTGTCCCTTTCTTACATATATATATATATGTATATTATAAGGTTTTCCATTATTTTCTTGTTTTTAAAAAGATATTGCGATTTAATTTTGCAGCTTGGGATTCTAATGAGCTTTGATTCTTGAGAAGACCCTTTTGTCCTCTTTTTTCGTTTGTCGGGTGGTCAATATCAACACACGAGAGTATATATAGTTTCTATCATATATGGAATTTCATATTAAAATATTTATGTTTTTATCTAATTTCAAGATTGTAAGTAATCGTGCCAAATTTTTAGCATTTTAGGAGGTTCGAACCAATGGCACATTATGATATATAATGTTGATACATATCGAAATAAATTTGTAGAATATGAAGATATATATATCTATATATATGTTTTAACGAGAAGGTAGAATTATCATAATTAAAAATATATAGTACAAATTTGTCAGCACTTAATTATAAAAAGATTTAGAAGAAGAAATTCGTTATGATAACGAGAATGGAATGATTGAATGAATGAATCCATGAAGAGGGGACCTATAAAAACTTATACGCCATCGTAAATGTACAGCCAAATGACCGAGACCACACGCTCACACACATGTATGCACACATGTATGTATGTATGTATGTATGTATGTATGTATGTATGTATGTATGTATGTATGTATGTATGTATGTATGTATGTATGTATGTATGTATGTATGTATGTGTGTGTGTGTGTGTGTTTGCCAACAAAGATACAACCACCTCACTTTCAATACACAACTTTTATCATAAATGTATATCAATCATATATATATAAACAAATATACACATACATACGTACATGCATACATACCATGCATACATACACCATAGTCTTATCTTGTTGTGTTGGTATTTTTGTCTTGGTTAAAACATTGACAGGTGCTCTCTTTGCAAACAATTGGATTATGGCTCAACCAACCAAAACGATACACGTGGCATTCATATAGCCCCTCCACTATATTCTCGAGTTTGATGCATTTTGTATTTCGTTAGATTAAATGACATACTTGTTATACCGAATCTCAAGAAGGTAGTTAACCTTTTTTTTTATTTATAATCAAATGTTAACCGTACCCAACTACAAGTACGAATTATAAAAAAAAAACTACAATTATCAAAGAATTGAAAAAATTCGGGTGAATTTTTATTTCTAAATATAGGCTCAAATCCAGGATTTTTTTAATTATTATTATTATTAAGGGGCATGTTTTATATTACAACATGAATGCTCATTTGGCATCCCGTGAACGTTCTCTATTTTCTTGGACTTCCTCTCCTTATTTAAACCCCAAACTTGAATTTGTTTCTCTCAAAGTAAAAAGCCACATACTCTCTCTCTCTCTCTCGCCCTCAGCCACATTCTTGCAGAACAGAGAACCCGAAAGGAAATAAACGAACATGATAACGAGAAGCCAAAGTGTGAGAAGAAGCTTCACAACGATGCTGCTAATGGCGTTACTGGTCTGGTCTGCAACTCTAGAGACCTGCATTGCAAGAAGAGGGAGACACTGGAGACAGAACAGAAGCTCCTCTGCCGAGTCACCTTCCTTGTCCAGCAAGAAACCAAACACCCACCATAGCTCTCACCACCCTTACCACAAATCCAAACCTAAACCTAAACCTAAACCAGAGCCAAAACCACAGCCACCGCCTCCCAAGGGGGATGATGACTCGCCGGCTCTGCCTCCGCCGCCGCCACAGCCACAGCCACAGCCGCAGCCGCCGAAAAAGGGTTATGGGTCGGCCCCGAAACCGCCGCAGGGTTCTGGAGTGTTCAATGTGTTGGATTTTGGCGCCAAGGGTGATGGCAGGAGTGATGATACAAAGGTAATAATGTCCCTGCATTCTTGGGATATGGTGTTTCCGTACAGTTCAATCCAATGGGTTTTCGGTTTCTGGGTAATAATCTTTCGTTTTCATCAGAATTCGGGAAATTCAAAAGAGAATTGTGGTTGAGAGATCATTGAGAAGAGACTTCCTAACTTTCCCGTGAACAAAAACCAGAGCTCAAAAAGGTTTCTGACTGTAAAGTAAAAAAAAAACTTTTTTTTAAAAAAAAAAAATTCATTGTAAAGACTTGTAATTAGGAGGGAAAAAGGGACAAGAGACAAGGAATATTAAAGAAGTGACAACAGAAAATACCCGATCACGATGGGACCACAGAGCATGAACCTTAAAAGCTTGTGATTGTGTTTGGTCTGTAACAATGGTGATTAGAGGCAATTAAACTGAGAAATCTAACCAACAGAGAATGCAACGCAGGCCTTTGAAGCGGCTTGGGCTGAAGCCTGCAAAGTCGAGGCCTCGATGATGATCGTACCGAATGATTACGTTTTCCTCGTCGGTCCTATCTCCTTCTCGGGTCCTTACTGTCAAGCAAACATTGTATTCCAGGTTAGATTTCATCTTCTTCTTCTTTTTTTTTTATGTTATAAAAGGTTAAAGGTTTACCTTACGAAAGAAGTGATCTTTATGGTTCAGCTTGACGGGACGATGGTTGCACCGACAGATTCGAATTCGTGGGGAAAAGGGCTGATGTGGTGGATTGAGTTCACGAAGCTCAAAGGAATTACAGTGCAGGGGAACGGTGTAATCGATGGAAGAGGTTCTGGGTGGTGGCAAGATTACCCCTTTGAAGATCCCATTGACGACTTAACCAAACTCATCGTCCCTTTGAACAACTCTGTTCAAGAACGCCCACCGATGCCTGTAACCTTCTTCTTCTTCTTCTTCTCCTCTTCCTCCTCCTTCTTCTTAACTCTCGAGTTCCTGGTTCTGAATTTGTCTGGTCCTGTCAGGTGAGAAGTGAGCTCAGTGGAAGAATGCCAAGCATCAAACCAACGGTAGGTGTAGAAGAATTAAGAATTTTACAAGAATGTTTCTCTGGCGTTAGTTAACAGCTCCTTTCCATTTGGTTCAGGCATTGCGATTCTACGGGAGTTTTAACGTGACAGTGACGGGCATTACTATCCAGAACAGTCCACAGTGCCATCTCAAGTTCGACAACTGTGTTGGGGTTTTGGTGCACGACATGAGCGTGTCTTCGCCCGGAGATAGTCCGAACACAGATGGGATACACTTGCAGAATTCCAAAGATGTGCTCATTCATGGCACCACACTTTCTTGCGGTAAGTTCAAGCCAAATGATGACAAGGTGAGTAGCAGATAATGACTTACACTGTATCGGTTCTTGAATTGTGATGATCCTTGTGCAGGAGATGACTGTATTTCTATCCAAACGGGATGCTCAAATGTGTACATACACAATGTGAACTGTGGACCAGGACATGGCATCAGTATCGGAAGCCTTGGAAGAGACAGTACCAAAGCCTGTGTTTCCAACATCACGGTCCGAGATGTAATCATGCACAATACAATGACTGGTGTCAGAATCAAGACTTGGCAGGTAAAAAGCCCTTCTTCAAACTCGAATCAAATCTCTCTTAACACGTTTAAACATCCGAGATTTGATCCCGGGATACACGAATGCAGGGCGGGTCTGGCTCGGTGCAAGGAGTAATGTTCTCGAACATTCAAGTCTCGGAGGTTCAATTCCCGATCGTGATAGACCAGTTCTACTGCGACCACGCCAGTTGCAAGAACCAGACATCTGCTGTGGCTGTAAAAGGAGTCACCTACGAGAAAATACGAGGCACTTACACAGTGAAACCCGTGCATTTTGCCTGCAGCGACAACTCTCCCTGTGTAGACGTACAACTATCCTCCATAGAGCTGAAGCCAATTCAAGAACAGTATCACATGTACGACCCATATTGTTGGCAGACATTTGGAGAGCTCAACACACCGACAGTTCCTCCGATTGATTGCTTACAGATTGGAAAACCATCGAGGAACGGTGTTCAGTCCGATCATGATCTCTGTTGACCTGCAACGAGCAAGCAAACTGAGGGGAATTTAGAATGATCCATCCATTGTATATCTTTAGCGAATTTATATGATCCATACATACTGTTATTAGCGTTTATATCGATTCTCTGTTGTGTGAGAGTGTTTTGATATGCTTTTAGAGGGTAGAAATTTAGTGTAAGGCAGGCTTGTTCACTGTTTTGTAGTCTCCTCTCCTCTGAGAGAGAGAGAGAGAGAGAGAAGAACAGAACAACTTTCCTGGTTGCTTGATGAGCAGTATGTATATTGTTGTATCACTTATAGTTTGGATTGGTTATATATACATAGATAGATATATATATATAGTACCTCGAATATCTCCGAAACAAAACGTGTGCTACAATTTCATAAATCTCGTAAATTCTCTGCTCTCTGCAACTTATTAGCCTTGGAGTCCTTTTAAGGCTTCATGGGTAAAACAACAAAAAGAACAAATTCTTCAGTGTGGATCCATCAAAACAGAGACATAGAACAAAAAGGAAAAAAAAAGGGATTCAGACACATACACATATGTATGTACGTATATACATACAGCTTATGTCCAACAGATCTTCCTACTTATGCAATTACTTGGTGACAGCATTATACCTTTCGAATCTCCGACAAATGCAAATCAAGAAAATAAGCAACTTCTTTAATGTTTCAGGAGAAAGCTCGAAAAGCTTGGAAACGATGGAAGAATTTAAGCAAGAAGGACAAGAAAACCGATCTATCTAAGAGGTTTATATACGTTACTGTATCTAATTGTCAGCAATATGATCATATCCCTTATTCACCCTTTCATCAAACAGATCAAAATTTCAACTTTCTCACATGGGATCAAAAGAAACCAAGAAAACTCATCGAGTACGTAGGCATATATGATATCGGACTTTTGGCACTCGTTAACAAGATACAAATGGACGAGATTGAACACAAAACTTACCAACCGTTCTACTTAACTTTCCAAAGGGCTCTTAGCTTAGTGGCCGAAAAAACCGGTCCCTCTTCTAAGAGATCTTGGATTCTATATCAAAGTCCAAATATGATATTGTGTAGGCTGTTCAAATGGGTGGTTAAGCTTCCATGCCATTCTAAGTTGGTCCCCTTCTTCTTGTCCAAGTAATTGATTCAGCATTTCCATGCTCACCCTTTCAAGCAGATTCAGAGGCAAAGCAATAACTTACAGAATCTTCCATCTTCACTTCCCTCCCACATTACACAATCCCTCATTTACAGTTTACATAATCAATCAGTGTTTCATCCATGAAAATCTTTCAGAATGTGAAAGCGAGGAGTAAATACACACATCAGAGCCTTTTACGGGCATGGATTTGAAACCCATCGAAACCCAATGTTTTTTTAGTAAAAGTATTGTTAAAATTCCTTCACAATCTGCCAAAATTTATAAACTTTTTAAATGGATTTCAGATTCATGAAAACCCCCCTTCCCTAAATCATAAACCTTCAATCCCCCTATGACCATGTTCGAAGCTTCTACGATTTTAGGAGATTTCAAAACTTTAAAAGGTAAAAAATATATAATAAACAGAAAAAAAAAAATCCAACCTCTGCGACATTGGCATCCTCTTCTTCCACATTTCGAAACCCTAGGGCAAAACGTACGATCTTTGTCCCTTCTTCCTCTTCTCCAGAATCGCCGGTTTGATCGACTGTCCTCTGTTTTTCTATTGGGCTCTTTCTGAAAATTTTTCTTGGTCTTTGATCTGGGCTACTCTGGAGACATTTCAAAAGATCAGAGAATTGTTAGAAGACGAACTAAAGTTTGGGGGCTTCCATGCAAAGCCTGACAACAGCTGAAGTGAAAACGCGCGTTTGGAAACGCAACCGCTACGACCGGCCTTATCTTATCCCATCGTCACAAATTCACAATGATCCGACACAAACACAGGCGCCAATGATCTTCGACTTCGAACCCTCTGTCGTCGAAAAAATAATTATTATTTAAAAATTAACAATTAAACAAAAAAATGTCCTCTTCTTCCTCCATCGTCAAAGTCCATGCTTTGAAGTGTCTGATCATCATCATCATTCTATACTTCGCATTTCCATTCACCAATGGCGGATTCGAAGAAACTCGACGCAGCGACTCGACGAGTCTCTGTCGTCACCGACCATCTCATCCCTAACGGAATGGATCCCACTCGCGGTGGATCTGTTGGGCTCTGCAACGCTGATTCCACGAACGACAACTTCCAAAGGGTTCACGGTGAAGATCCGACGCAAGACGTCGTTCCGAGGATAGTCGATCCGGCCGGCGACGGGATTCGTCTGTTATGTGTTCGGGTAAATGTCTCAAAGAGAATTGTTTTTTAATCGAATTGCCTTTTTAGCTGATAATGCCATTTTTGGACAAACTCACACAGAAAGTTCCACAAGTTACTTCATTGATTACCCGATTTCAGGGGGCTACATACATACACGCCGATATAGATATAGTAGCAAAAGGGTTTAGGGTTTTCCAAAAATACAAACACAAGCCCCCGACACAAAACCACCCCATTTCCTTGCATCCCGTCAAGCATCAATACTCTTCATAACCAGAGATCTGATCAGCAATGGCGGCCACTGCATCCTTGGATTCCTTCAGAAGCTTGATACTGCTCTTAAGCTTCTCTCTCTTGCTTGTTACAGACGGAGTCTCCTCCAGCATCCTCAGTATCTCCCCATCCGCCATCTCTGCAACGATATCCTTCTGCATCTCCTTTTCGACCAAGTTGATCACAGAGAATCGTAGATGAAGTGCTACATTGTCCACAATCCTTAGAAGGACTATCGTCCAGTAAGCTGTGATCCTCATCTTCAAGTCGAAGGCCTGCTGCAGCAAATCACCGTGAGCCCTTAGATGCGAAATATTAACAGTACCAAACCCGTCTAATTTATAGGTCGTATGTCCGCTCGTAACGTGGCTGTTGAAGCTTTGTTGATGAGCTATCTTCTTGCTCCAGGAGGACAAGTACTCAGGGTTACATGTGTAATCTGTTTGCTTCTCGGTCTCGATCATTTGTATCACATGGTTCACAGATAGTTCCTTCATTTTGATGATCAGGTTCCGTCCTGCCCGTCTGAGAGACTGCTGGATCTGGGGGAAGCTGTCTGAGTGTTTGGAAATGACTGATGATAAAATTCCTTCTACATAATCCCACGTTTCTCTAATGAAATCTACCGGCCTGCTCTGAATTCCCTTTATGCGTTTCACAAGCATAGCCAAAAAGGCCGATCTTGGAAGAAAGTTGGGTAATCCAATGGATTTGCATTCTTTTAGCACCTCGATTTCCTCCATCAAGAAGTCAGTTCCAGTAGAATTCTCCGAGTAGTGTGCCTGAATATCAACTGAGAATCGGTCCAACATATCGGCCATACGAGCAGTGCAGTGCATGTTTCGATCATCCGGGTATTCTGAGAAGTCTCCTTGGATAAGTATCTTCACGAGAGACTCCTTCACGTAACCAATGATCCCCATGAATGTCACCATCGCTTCCCCAGCAGACGACATTGCCTTTGGCATTTTACCCAACTCTAGGATACTGTTGTCCATCTTCTCATTTATCTTCCTCACAATGTCAGGCAAGCAACGGCCAATCATCACCCCTTGGATCTGCATAAGCTTCTGAGCTAAGACGGGGATACCGACAATGTCATCATCGATCATGGAGAGGAGAGGATGTGTCCTGAACAGCAACTCTTCCTGCTTCCTTGCTTCTTCATACGTCTCCTCTCCTATGCGGTTTCTCACGCATACATAACCTAGACCGATATTCACATCATCAGCCGTAACTTTCTCGAGGAGCCCTTCAGGCGCCTTGTCGGCCTTTGTCACGACAGCCAGAGTTCGCTCTCCAGTTTGGTCAACTTGCCTGGACATGCGAATGGATTCGCAGGTAGAGAAATCCACTGTGGCTGACAGAACGTTGAGGATGATTGATTCATGAGGCTTAATGTACTTCATTATCATTGCTGCAATCTGTTCGTATATGTTTTCCGGCTGACCATGCACTGGAACTCGGGTTATTCCTGGGAGATCAATCATGGTAAGATCAGGAACACCTGCCTTCTTCACATGGAGGGTCAAGGGAGTGTCTGAGATTCCCTTGCCAGATCCTGGAACAGAGGAAAAGCAGTTGGGCATTGACCCATATTTGTCAAAGTCAAAGACTTTCAATAGTCCAGTCAGATATTCATCATTTACTAAGTCTGGTTAATCGATTCTTCCGTTCAAAAATCAGACCAGCCAAGATCCTTTTCAGAGTTCATTTACTACTTTCATGAACTTGTTCCTTTATGGTTTGCGTGTTTTGCAGAAAGTATCGCACTGTAAGAAGCTAAAAAAGAGGATCAATAAGCGTACCGGCGATTTCATCGGTTGCAGCAACAATAGCCTCTGCAACATATTCTTCTGCTGTAGGAACAACTCTGTCACCAAACTCCAACCGAATCTCAGGTTCAGGTTTCAGACTTCGCTGAAGCCTCATCACAAGAGGAACCCTCGTACAGATCCCTTGTCCGCGGGGCAAACTGATTCCCGCCAAGGACTCCAGAACGCTGGACTTCCCGGAGGACTGGTCTCCGACAACAACAATGGTCGGAAGCTGGATCCCTTCTTTCATCACGTTGAGGTTCCTCAGCCTGTCGACCGTGTCAAGCAACGGTCTGATTCGAACATTGTAAGACGTCACGATCGGCGCTTCAATGGCGTCGTTGCCGTCGGCTTGCACAACAAGTGTAAGAGATGTTTCGTCTCCGACATCCTTCGAGGCTGTGTTCGATGATTCCGTCGCTGGTTGCTTCTCGTCTCCTCCCATTTTTCTTGTGATCCGAGGTCGTGATCGAGTGAGTAACTAGGGTTTTTATGGACTTAAAGCAAGCACAGAGTATATACATACACACAGAGACAAGCATACTCTGAGAGAGTGTGGATACCTTTGCGTCGGAAGGGATGAAGTCGAAGACCGGCGGCGATCGGTTCTCTGAAGCGGCGAGCTGATGGCCGAAGCAGCAGGAGAGAGTAAGGGTGTGACTGGAAGAGAGTGTCTTTAAAGGGCCCGCTATCATTGACTCCTTGGTGACGAAGGAACTCGCTCTGATGCTCAGCAAAAAGCATATGTAATCATATCTCTTTAGAAAAGGATTTTGTACGGAGTGTTGTTCTGCCAAAGCAAAAGTAAAACCTTGCTGTGTAAGTCTAAGGAGTAGGGATCCAGTGTACGTAGCCACAACGAAGAGGACGCCATTTTTGCTCTAAATCCCGCATCAATCTCCTTTATTATTGCGGATTCTTTCTTTCCAAAGTGTAAAAATGATTAGGTGTCATTGAATGAGGGTTGCACATTTCAGCTGTCTATTAGGTGACATAGATTGTATAGTATAAAAAAAATCATATAATATATAATGTAATATATATTTCGTATCTCTAATTATATCTATTTTTTTTTTCTTTTTCAAATTTAATTCTGTTTTCAATTTTATTATATATAGAACTTGAAAAATTCAGTTACCGATCAATATTATCGCAAATATTTATATTCTATTCATATAGATTTTGCAGGTTTAATCACCAATATTTTATAAATATTGTTATTATTATCAGGTTGGTTCATTACGTCATCTATACGTGTGAACGAGGACTATATCATCCATTATATTTTTTTTATTCTAACTATTTACATAATATTATTATCATTTATATGTTTGGATTGTTATGTCAACCTAATTATTTATAATTAGGTGTTAATGTCTTCCATGTTATATAAAATAAATAATTAGAGTGACATAATTATCCAACACATAAATGATAATAATATTATGAAAATAGTTAAAATAGTAAAAAAAATGAATAATATAGTAATATTTATGATGATGTGGTATATCATGATAGTAATAGAAATATTTATAAATAGTCATATCACCGAATACTATAAAAATTTAATATAAATATTTACGATTAATTTTATATTATTGATCGGTAGATGAATATCTTAACATCTATATACAATAAAAAATCAAAACTACATCCAAATTTTAAAAATATATCACGATAATTAGAGATAGAAAATTATATATTCATTACCTTACTATTTGAATGATTATATAATTATATAATAGATAGATTGTCATACTCATAACGTTTTTAAAAGGAAGAATAAAATAATATAATATGAGATAGTAACATTACATTACCAAGAGAAATAATAGAGGCCCTTCGAGGCCAGCTCAAGTGGCAGAAGGCACGTGTGTGTCGCAGGCTCGTGTGTGGGCTTGGGGTTTGACCTGCAGGCGCCTAAGTCCAACTACGGCCCGAGCGTTAGGCGCACCTGGTGGCCAGCATGGAGACTGTTAGGCGCGGGTGGTGGCCAGTTCATCTCCTTTTGTAAGGGTAGGTAGTCACAAGGGTTCCCCAATTTATCAAAAAAAAAAAAAGAGAAATAATAGAGAGATGTAGAGGTCTCTCGAGAGATGTACGAGTGACGTCATATAAAGGAGGAAGAAAGTAGGTCTTCGTAAAGAAGGAACATATATTATTTTTAATATTAATTTGGTTTATTAAAATATGCTATACATATGATAACACCTTTAGTCTACTCGCGACTTTTTCTTTCCGCCTTCTAAAGTCCAGCACAGGAGTTCTTAACACCCAATTTGGTATCGATATCTAATTTCATTTCGTTAATCCAAATTTGATTAATTCAATCGTTGAAACGAATACGTTAAACTGTCTGTTCTATTCTGAGTTCGAACCTCAAATTTGGAGAGAGAACATATATTCCAAATCACATGTTAACTCCCGACTCCGACATTAAGATTAGTCTGAACCTTGATACAGGATATCCAATTACAAAAAAAAAAAAAATTCGATACTAGTTTGATGATTTGATAATATTAGTTAGATTTATATGTGTCATTAATTTTAAAAACACAAAACTTCTAATTCTAAGAAACGTTATTTCTAATTATCAACAAATCTAAATAAATACTCTCTTTTTTTAATAATAATGCAAAATCTTTATAATTATCGTCAAGTGTGGCTGGCTGAATTGGGGTAATGCGTAAAGGGTGCTCATTATCATAACTATTATTTAATACCATTAATCTGATTATTTGTAACAAACAAATTATATTTCTTAAACAATGAATCTAATCATATGTTGCAAAACAATTCTTACAGAACTCAAACATGTCGCCATAGAAGATTCTCCAACATTGTTTCTTCAATCACAAATACTTGAACGATTCTCTTCTTTGTTTTAAATTTTCAACAATTATTTTATATAAAAAAAAACACTTCGGTTGCAGTTTGGATTTTGATTAAAAATAGTAAACGTTAAAAATAAAATAAAATAAGGGAATAGTTTAAAGATTTGCAATTGAAAAAAATAATGCTAAAATAATTTGTTGGAGTTTATATGATTCTCACATTTGAATTCTTTTTTTTATAAATATAAACAAGTTTAGATTTGTTCTCATAAAAGTACCTATGGATCAATTATACAAAATTAAACCAATAGCATGTGAACTCCAAAATTAAATTGATCTAAACTCTAAACAAATTACTCGAATATACCACAAATTAAATATATATATATATATATATATGTGTATATATGCATATTAATATGTTAAATTCATATTGCGACCCTAAACAGCAAAAAGGTACAAAAAATATATAATAATAAGAAAAAAAATCCAACCTTTGCCACATTGGCATCCTCTTCTTCCACATTTCGAAACGCTAGGGCAAAACGTACGGTCTTTGTCCCTTCTTCATCTTCTCCAAAATCGCCGGTTTGTTCTAATTAAAAATTTGGGGGTTTCCATGCAAAGCCTGACAACAGCTGAAGTGAAAACGCGCGTTTGGAAACGCAACCGCTACGACCGGCCTTATCTTATCCCATCGTCACAAATTCACAATGATCCGACACAAACACAGGCGCCAATGATCTTCGACTTCGAACCCTCTGTCGTCGAAAAAATAATTATTATTTAAAAATTAACAATTAAACAAAAAAAATGTACTCTTCTTCCTCCATCGTCAAAGTCCATGCTTTGAAGTGTCTGATCACCATCATCATTCTATGCTTCGCATTTCCATTCACGAATGGCGGATTCGAAGAAACTCGACGCAGCGACTCGACGAATCTCTGCCATCACCGACCATCTCATCCCTAACAGAATGGATCCCACTCGCGGTGGATCTGTTGGGCTCTGCAACGCTGGTTCCATGAACGACAGCTTCAAAAGGGTTCACGGTGAAGATCCGACGCAAGACGTCGTTCCGAGGATAGTCGATCTCGCCGGCGACGGGATTCGTCTGTTATGTGTTCGGGCAAATATCTCAAAGAGAATTGTTTTTTAATTAATCGAATTGCCTTTTGAGCTGATAATGCCATTTTTGGACAAACTCACATAGAAAGTTCCACAAGTTACTTCATTGATTACCCGATTTCAGGGGGCTACATACATACACGCCGATATAGATATAGTAGCAAAAGGGTTTAGGGTTTTTCCAAAATACAAACACAAGCCCCCGACACAAAACCACCCCATTTCCTAACATCCCGGCAAGCATCAATACTCTTCATAAACAGAGATCTGATCAGCAATGGCGGCCACTGCATCCTTGGATTCCTTCAGAAGCTTGATACTGCTCTTAAGCTTCTCTCTCTTGCTTGTTACAGACGGAGTCTCCTCCAGCATCCTCAGTATCTCCCCATCCGCCATCTCTGCAACGATATCCTTCTGCATCTCCTTTTCGACCAAGTTGATCACAGAGAATCGTAGATGAAGTGCTACATTGTCCACAATCCTTAGAAGGACAATCGTCCAGTAAGCTGTGATCCTCATCTTCAAGTCGAAAGCCTGCTGCAGCAAATCGCCGTGAGCCCTTAGATGAGAAATATTAACAGTACCAAACCCGTCTAATATACAGGTCGCATGCCCGCTCGTAACGAGACTGTTGAAGCTTTGTTGATGAGCTATCTTGTTGCTCCAGGAGGATAAGTACTCAGGGTTACATGTGTAATCTGTTTGCTTCTCAGTCTCGATCATCTGTATCACATGGTTCACAGATAGTTCCTTCATTTTGATGATCAGATTCCGGACTGCCCGTCTGAGAGACTGCTGGATCTGGGGGAAGCTATCTGAGTGTTTGGAAATGACTGATGATAAATTTCCTTCTATGTAATCCCACATTTCTCTGATGAAATCTACCGGCCTGTTCTGAATTCCCTTTATGCGTTTCACAAGCATAGCCAAAAAGGCCGATCTTGGAAGAAAGTTAGGTAATCCAATGGATTTGCATTCTTTTAGCACCTCGATTTCCTCCATCAAGAAGTCAGTTCCAGTAGAATTCTCCGAGTAGTGTGCTTGAATATCAACTGAGAATCGGTTCAACATATCGGCCATACGAGCAGTGCAATGCATGTTTCGATCATCCGGGTATTCTGAGAAGTCTCCTTGGACAAGTATCTTCGCGAGAGACTCCTTCACGTAACCAATGATCCCCATGAATGTCACCATCGCTTCCCCAGCAGACGACATTGCCTTTGGCAGTTTACTCAACTCTAGGATACTGTTGTCCATCTTCTCATTTACTTTCATGACGATGTCAGGCAAGCAACGGCCAATCATCACCCCTTGGATCTGCATAAGCTTCTGAGCTAAGACGGGGATACCGACAATGTCATCATCGATCATGGAGAGGAGAGGATGTGTCCTGAACAGCAACTCTTCCTGCTTCCTTGCTTCTTCATACGTCTCCTCTCCTATGCGGTTTCTCACGCATACATAACCTAGACCGATATTCACATCATCAGCCGTAACTTTCTCGAGGAGCCCTTCAGGCACCTTGTCGGCCTTTGTCACGACAGCCAGAGTTCGCTCTCCAGTTTGGTCAACTTGCCTGGACATGCGAATGGATTCGCAAGTAGAGAAATCCACCGTGGCTGATAGAACGTTGAGGATGATTGATTCATGAGGCTTAATGTACTTCATTATCATTGCTGCAATCTGTTCGTATATGTTTTCCGGCTGACCATGCACCGGAACTCGAGTTATTCCTGGGAGATCAATCATGGTAAGATCAGGAACACCTGCCTTCTTCACATGGAGGGTCAAGGGAGTGTCTGAGATTCCCTTGCCAGATCCTGGAACAGAGGAAAAGCAGTTGGGCATTGACCCATATTTGTCAAAGTCAAAGACTTTCAATAGTCCAGTCAGATATTCATCATTTACTAAGTCTGGTTAATCGATTCTTCCGTTCAAAATCAGACTAGCCAAGATCCTTTTCAGAGTTCATTTGCTACTTTCATGAACTTGTTCCTTTATGGTTTGCGTGTTTTGCAGAAAGTATCGCACTGTAAGAAGCTAAAAAAAGGATCAAGAAGCGTACCGGCGATTTCATCGGTTGCAGCAAC